TTATTACAGCTAGCCAAACTATAGCCCAGAATAGTTCAGAGCATTTTGATAGGAGTTTTTCATGCAATTATAGCACATAGTGAGACAAAGAGAAGTATAAGAATGGAGTTTTCCAATGGGTTACTTCACCACAATTCACCCTGCAGGAGGGGTACATAGAAGATGACCCATAAAAGTAGAAATTCTTGGTGTTTCAGGTTCCACATAGACATCTGTTAATTTATTAATGTTTGGAAATTAGTACAGTTAGTAAAAGTTATTAAATTTTGTGAGCTAGTAAATGTCTTGGTGGTCCCATCCCTTTCCTGCCTGGGTAACAGGTTGGTCTGGGTTCTTCTGTTCTGTTACAAATCATAATTTATGGCCCGTTCATCTTAGCTCAGTCCCCAGAATGGGTCACTCGGCCATCCTCCCTCTTAGTTACCTCCTAGACACCGTTTATGCCCTAGCTTTCCCACTGCACTCAAAGGTGGTGATGTGGATTAACAATGCTTCACACTGCACTCATTTGTGGAGTATAAAATAGCATAATATGAAACTGACACCCAAGGACAGAAGATACAAGGGCCAGAAAGATTCTCCATAGTTGGAAGTCTGCCTCATGCGTGGAGGGGAGAAGGCAGCTGTAATAGTGATGGGATCACTGAGAAGTTGATGGTTGGAGGAATCGGTCGGGATGGGAGATGTGTGCTGAAAGAAATGGACCAAACATGATAACCTCTCAGTATCTGTATTTCAAACCATAATACCCAAAAGCAGAGAGGGAGTATGGGGAATATTGTCTGCTGTGGAGGCAGGGGGAGGATTGGAAAGGGGGGTATACTGGGGATGTTGGTGGTAGGAATGTGCACTGGTGGAGGGATGGGTGTTTGATGATTGTATGATTGTAACTCAAACATGAAAGCTTGTAACTATCTCACAGTGAAACATGTTACATGAAACATGTAACTATCTCACGGTGATTCAATAAAATAAAATTTTTTAAAAATGCATCAGAATAAAACATTTTCTAAGCAAAAAGTAACATATTTAAAGAAGACTTTGGGGGCTGGAGGGATAGCACAGCGGGTAGGGCATTTGCCTTGCACATGCCCGACCCGGGTCTGATTCCCAGAATCCCAAATGGTCCCCCAAGCACCGCCAGGAGTAATTCCTGAGTTCAGAGCCAGGAGTAACCCCTGTGCATTGCCGGGTGTGACCCAAAAAAGCAATAAATAAATAAATAAAGTAAGTAAGTAAAAAGAAAAGAAGGCACTGAGATCAAAAACTGCAATTTTGCCTCTTCCTGTATAGGTCTGAGGATTTACTGAGCTGTTTGATTTTTGTGCCCTCTGTGTTACTGTTTTTGCTCATTGAACTTCTTTGGCATCTGTGTGTTTTCCCCATTGGTTTTCTAGTGTACTTGCTGTGCAAGATCAGGGGTTAGGCTGGAGATTTTTTTTTTCCATCAACACTGAATGATGGGCAGTGTGTAATTTATTGCCTCAGGAACTGTGGTGTGGGACTGTTAATGTGGTGGAGTTGGGGATGGAGGCTGCAGGGACCTAGGCGGAAGGGAGGGGCTCTGCCTCCTGTTCTCTACCTGGAATGGTGGAACAAGCAGTAGCTGTGGTTTTTACTTTATATGTCTTGTTATGAAAACTTTTCCTACCCTAGACTGAGAGAGGAAGTTTCTTTTTCTTTTATCTAAAAGTTTTATTTTTGAGTTTTCTCGGAAATCATCTCAAGCTTATAAAATGTTGCAAAAATAAAACCAGTTCAAAGAACATTCATAAACCTTTTACAAGACTGACCTAATATTACTATTTTTGTAATTTGTTTATACTTCATACATATAATACACTATATATGTGAAATATGTATATACATATATTTTTCTGAACTAGTTGAGGGTAAGTTACAAACATTATGAAGCTTTACAGTTAAACACATCAGTGTGTATTTTCTACAGAGGAAAATCTAACTTAATGACAATATAGTTAACAACTTAATAAATTTGTACTGACAAAATACTTTCTGTGGTGATTTTGGAGGGGCCACATCTGTCTGTGTTTAAAGCTTACTCCTGACTCCATACTTAGGGATTACTCTTGGCAGTGCCTAGGGGCATATCTGTGGTGCTGAGGATCTAACTCAGGTCAGCTGCATACAAGGGAAGAACCCTACCCCTATTCATGATAAAATGCATATTTTATCATATCTCCTGTTTATATACCGATTTTGTCAATGGAATTTGTGCTCATAGCATTTTAAATATTTTTTTTCTTTTTTGGGTCATACCAAAAGAAAAGAAAAGAAAAGAAAAGAAGGCACTGAGATCAAAAACTGCAATTTTGCCTCTTCCTGTATAGGTCTGAGGATTTACTGAGCTGTTTGATTTTTGTCAAAAAATCAACCCAAAAAAGAAACCCCTGGCACTGCTCAGGGGTTACCCCTGGCTCTTCACTCAGGAATTACTCCTGGCAGTGCTCAGGGGACCATATGGGATGCTGGGATTCGAACCCGGGTCAGCCACATGCAAGGCAAATGCCCTACCCGCTGTGCTATCGCTCCAGCCCTGCATTTTTAATATTCTTAAATCGTATAATCTTTCAACCATTTTCAAAGCCTGATAGGCAATAGGAGGCAAACAACAGGTGAAGCAGGCAAGAAATAGGAGACCCCTGGCAATGAGTTTCTCAGGAAACAATAAAACCAAGATGTTATTTGAGAAGTTACACTGTCAATAGTCCTAAAGTATCCCAACCACATAAAGACAGAACCACCCTTGTGGACACAGGAAACTGAGGTCAATAAGACTCTCACAAGCTCCAGTACCAGCTCAGAGAATGCTGGATTCCCTCCAGAGAGAAGTTTCAGCAAGAACAAACCTTATGAAGGAATGATCACCAAGAGTTCAAAGTTCTTCCTCTTGACAATATCCTAGCAACAGATTCATTTTCACAGAAAACCCCAAACTTGGATAGTTTGGTGGAATCCCTCTAAAACCACCTTTACAAAGGCAAGCAGTAGCCTTCCTTGTTCTGGGGTCCTGTGCACCTTAAGTTGAAATGTATGATTTCTTTCTTTTACTTTATAGACTGCCCTTAGTACTCACCTCTCTGGAGATATCCACGGTGTCTTCGGAACACATTATTCTCTTTCCCTCCTTACGTTCTCTAAATAAAACTATTTCATTTCACAATTCATCTCCTGCAATGAGAATGAAGCAGGAAAACGTGGGCAGAGGTTAGGACTGACTTTTCTTTTCCTGCAAAGAGCAATCCAGCCCTGAGGCCACAGCAACCTGAGAACTCCATTAGTGGGATCACGGCCTAACTTAGATAACCCTGTCAAGGTGTTTTGTTGTATGATTTCTCCACTAAAGAATTACTGCTGTTTGTTTTTTCTTCCTTCAGTTTACAAGCAATCTGTAGGAGGGCACTTTGAAATATGCAAAGAGACTTTATCCTCCTGTAATGATTCTTATCAGGTCTAGTATTTTCCTTGGTGGTTGAAAAATGATTTGAATAAGAGTTTGGGGGGAGAGAGAGAATGAGTGAGAGTGAGAGAGAGAAAGAGAGAGAGACAACAAGAGAAAAGTGTTAAGGATTGCCTTGCATACTGACTAACTGTTTGATCCTAAGACTGAATAAAAAATTCTAGTGTCACCCCCCCCCACACACACACATACACACACATATACACCAAAGTTTCTGTGTATATCTTCAGTCTGGAATTGATTTGTATACTGTGAGATAAGGATTTTATTCTATATCCTTCCTTTTCTTGCATTTGGCTAGCAGCTCTATTTGTAGAATAGCATTGTCTCCCCCCTAATAAGAAGTCCAGTTTTTCATACATTATATTTCCTTTTTCATGTATTTTTGGTCCACACCCAGCAGTGCTCAGGGAACACTCCTGTTGGTGCTCAGTGGTACCAGGGATCAACCGGGGGTCGACCACATAAAAGGCAAGCACCTCCTGTACTATCTCTTCAGTCTTCCATTTTGACTTAGGTTTACTTGAGTGTTTTTTATTCTGTCCCACTTAATTATCATAGCTTTGTGGTAGTAAATTTTGATATAAGATCAGCAACTACCCAATTACATTCTTCTTTAAAATTGTAATGATTTTTTTATCAATCAGGCAATTAAATTTATTGTTAGAGACTATTTTCACAATAACCTTCAGAGAGATTAAGCAATTTTCAAAGGTCACAAAGTCAAAATGGAAGACTCTAAATCAAATCTGCTTAAACCAGAGCACTTTCAATGATTTCCATAGGTCCTGCCTTCTTAAGGCCAAATAGCTGGCTTCTTAGGCACAGAGCAGTGATCAAAGAATCAGGAGTGAGGAAAAAAGGTAAGTGTACCAGAGTAGGTTTGGTCTCTGGGATATAGACTTTGCCAGAAAAGGGATGGAGCTTGGCCCTGTCCCGCGGAACTGGAAAAGAATGACAGTAGCGGCGGGGTGCTATTGGGATGGATGGGTAGGGGTGAATAGAAGCCAGGCACTATCCTGCCCTGGGAGGTCATCCTCCACCAGCCCCCCTTGCCTGATTAAGAGACCCTAATCCGCTTGTGGGAGATTAAGGGCAGGCTGGGAGTTCCCACACCTATTCCCTTGGCGGGCGGGCGAAGAAGACCTGGGGGAGGGCGCAGGAGGAGGCTCGCCCCTGTGACCCCTCGCCAGGGCCCTGAGCCCCTGCCAGCCCGGACTTCGCGGTGAGTGGAAAAGCCCTCCCACCCGGTGTCCAGGTCCCCTCCGCCCTAGACGGACTGTGCATAGGTGTGGGCATGCCCCACTGACCCCCGCAAACCCAGACCAACGACACAGAGTAGGCTGGGGAAACTGTTACTCTCCGCTGTTACTTTGACACCCAACAGTCGTCCAAACCCGCGGAGTGGTGCGGCGGCAGGGCCGGGCTTTGAGAAGCCGGAGGTGGGGCGGGAACCGCGGGGAAAGGGGGTGAGCGCGTGCTGACCCTGCCCAGTGTCCACCCACCCGCAGGCCTGGCCATGGCGCGCGGCCCTGCGCCTCGGCTGCTGCTGCTGCTGCTGCTTCTGGCGCCACACGCCGCGCTCCCGGCCGCGTTCACTGTCGGGGTGCTGGGCCCCTGGGCGTGCGACCCCCTCTTCGCCCGCGCCCGACCGGACCTGGCGGCCCACTTGGCAGCCTCTCGTCTGAACCGCGATTCCGATCGCGCCGGGGGCCCCCGATTCGAGATCGCGCTGCTGTCCGAGCCCTGCCGGACTGCCGGCTCGCTGGGGGCGCTGGCGGGGGCGCTGGGCCGCGTGTCGGCGCTCGTGGGCCCGGTGAACCCCGCAGCCTGCCGGCCCGCCGAGCTCCTGGCCCAGGAGGCGGGGGTGGTGCTGGTGCCCTGGGGCTGCCCCGGGACGCAGGCTTCGGGCACCACGGCCCCCGCTCTGACCCCCGCGGCCGACGCCCTCTACGCCCTCCTGCGCGCGTTTCGCTGGGCACACGTGGCCCTGGTCACTGCCCCCCATGACCTCTGGGTCGAGGCAGGACGAGCGCTGGCCGTAGCACTAAGGGCTCGGGGCTTGCCCGTCACTCTGGTGATCGCCATGGAGTCTTCGGACCTGACGGGTGCCCAGGAGGCCCTGAGGAGGATCCGGGGCCGCCCCAGCATCCGAGGTAGGCTCCGGCTCAGGGGGCGCAGGGGGTGGTGGTCGCGCAGACGGCGGATCAGGGCGCTGAGTAGCGTCTGTCCGGCCTGCAGTGGTGATCATGGTGATGCACTCGGTGTTGCTGGGCGGAGAGGAGCAGCGCAGCCTGCTGGAAGCCGCGGAGGAGCTGGGCTTGGCCGACGGCTCCCTGGTCTTCCTGCCCTTCGACACGATCCACTACGCCTTGTCACCCGGCCCAGACGCTTTGGCCGCGCTCGCCAACAGCTCCCGACTGCGCAAGGCCCACGACGCCGTGCTCACCCTCACCCGCCACTGTCCGCCAGGGGGCAGTGTGCTGGGCAGCCTTCGGCGGGCCCAGGAGCAGCGGGAACTGCCCCCTGATCTCAATCTGCAGCAGGTAAGAGGGATGGAGAGGGTCGAAACCGGGAGAAGGTGGAGGTCATGGGGGAGAGGACGGTGGAGCCAAAGGCTGGGGGTGGAGGCGGGACCACCGAGGTGAGAGAATGAACCTAAACGGAAGGGAAACGATTGGAATCGATGGAATGAGAGGAGGAGACCGCCGGTGGGGAGAGCTATTAACAGCTATCCTGGAGTGTCTGGGCAATATAGACCCCATGGCTTTGCTTGGGACATCTTAGAATTGCATCAAAGAGCAAGCATCGGAGACGTCTCCTGCCCAGCTTCTGTAATTCTTTGCAGGCAGCTTCAAACTAGAGTTGACCCAGGGCCTACCGCATACAGTTGGTGATAAAGAACGGGGTTCTAAAGAGAGCGGGAAGGAGAAGGCATGAGACCAACGTCCACAGTTCAGAAGAGTTTCCTCTGCTAGAATGAAGTTAAAATTAACGAAGCTACATCATAGGCTTCATGTCTTGTTTTTTTTTAAAAAAAAAAAAAAAGGAAAAACAACCATTTAGATCCACAGCTTATTCTCCACAATTTACTAATACCCAAGGTCCCCTGAGAACCCAGAGTCCCGTTCAGATCATCTAGTTCCCCTCCCATTTACAAAAGCAGCTGCTAGAGGTCACCCAGAAGAAGGGAACTTTGATGTCAGTGGCCTATAAACTAAGCTTCAGAAGGACGCAGCTCAAGAGGGAGCAGATGAAAGAGGGCTGCCGGTCAAGGGTGATTGAAATACCCCTGATCTCCTCCATGGGGATTTAGGGCAGGTAGTAGGGAGAAAGAAGGAACACAATGAGGACAAGAGTTAGGAATGGTGGTTAATGAAGGATGGAGGGCAGGTGGAGAAGAGAAGTAGAGAGAGGAAAAAGTTCTTTAATTCTCAGTAAGTAGCACAAGCTTCTACCTCTCTCTTCTATCTTCTTTGAATTTTTAGTTCCTCTGGATCCCACAGTCTTTTCCTTTGATTGTATTGCCAGTAGTACCATTACCTCCCTGGGATAAGTCTGCTACATCCCTTGAGGCACAGTCACTTCTGGAAGCTGCCTCCTCCTCCCTAACCTGGACTCTGGTTGACTTCCCTGTTTCTGTAGCTCTCTTATTCACTTGTACTGCCCAACCACCCCATCTTCCTCTGTCTCTAGATGCAAGTCCTTTGGACAGGGACTCGTGAGACTTGGGAGCTGGGAATAATAGAGGTTAGATAAGTTCTGCCATTAGCTTTAAGAGAAGAGAAAAAGGAGAAATAGAATCCATTAAAAAGAAAGCTTTCAGGTAAATAGCATAGATAATAATATTTAAAACACATTGCAGAGGGGACTGGGGAGATAGTGCAGCAGATAGGGTGATTGCATTGCATGTAGCCGGCCTGGTTAAATCCCCAACACCCCATATGTTTCTCCCAGTTCCCTTCAGGAGCCATTCCTGAGCACAGAACCAGGAGTAAGCTCTGAGCATCACCTAGCATGGCCCTGTCAAAAATATTAATAAGATTAAATATATGCATGGCAATGAATAGGAAAGGAAAGAGTCATGAGTGGTGGAGAGTTAAAATTAACCAATAGTGAAGAAATCCTCCAAATTCTGAAGGTCAATGGGGAAAAGAGGTGGAATAGCTGAAGGGGGGAGGGAAAGAGAGAGAAAGCATTAGCTTCTGGGGAAAGCTATCCAGTGAGAAGAGAAAGAGGCAATCAGTCAGGAGGAGGAAGAAATAGCCAATAGGGAGAGACCTGGGGACTCACCAAGTAGGAGAGGCAAACACTGAGACAGTGAAAGGAAAGGCCAGGGCTGGGAGCCGTTTTCTGGGTAATGACCTTGCAGCTTGAGCCTCTGTTCTTCTCCAGGTATCCCCACTCTTTGGCACAATTTACGATGCAGTCCTCTTACTCGCACAGGGCGTGGCGGGAGCACGTGTGGCTGCAGGTGGTGGCTGGGTGTCAGGAGCCGCTGTGGCCCGCCACGTTCGGAATGCCCGGGCCCTTGGGTTCTGTGGACTCCTGGGAGGAGCTGAGGAGCCTCCTTTTGTGCTGCTGGACACAAATGCAGTGGGAGACCGACTGTATGCTACATACATGCTGGACCCAGCCCAGGGCCACCTCCGTTGGTCTGGAACCCCTGTGCATTTCCCTAGAGGGGGACAAGGGCCTGGGCATGACCCCTCATGCTGGTTTGACCCAGACATCATCTGCAACGGAGGTAAGGGAAAGCACCCCAACCCCCACTGGGACAGTCTCCAAGGACCTTCCATGAGGAGGTGAAAGAGAATAAAGTCCAGTTCTCTAATTCTCCTTCCAGGCCCTTCCACTTCCTCATCAGACCTCTGATTTATACAGAGCTTCTCTCTTGCCAATTCCCCACACCGCTCTTGGAGCTTTGCTGGCATTCCCAGATGCTCCCCTTTTCCAAATACATGGTTTTTCTCTAGGTCTCTATTCCGTCTTCCACCTTCCTTCCCTTCACTGTATCACCGTATCACTGTCATCCCGTTGTTCATCGATTTGCTCGAGTGGGCACCAGTAATGTCTCCATTCGTCCCAGCCCTGAGATCTTAGCAGCCTCTCCTTATTCATCCTTCCCAACAGTGCCGTATTGGAGCCTCTTTCAGGGTCAGGGGAATGAGACCCGTTATTGTTACTGTTTTTGGCATATCAGATATGCCATGGGGAGCTTGCCAGACTCTGCCGTCTCCTTCCCTTAGAGCTTCAAAATTTGATAAATGCATGTCTTCCTAGAGAGTGGGGGCTTCCCCTCATGCAAGACCCTCAGTTTCCCTTCTCTCCCTACCCCTATAGGAGTGGAACTAGGTCTGGTCTTCATCGGCTTCCTTCTGGTGCTTGGCATGGGGCTGACAGGGGTCTACCTGGCTCATCATGTGAGGTGAGTTGGAGAGTGAGCTAAGTAGGAGGTGAGCTTGATGCTCCATGTGATTTTGTGGCAAAGAAGGGCCCTGAATAGAAGGAAGCTATTTTTGGAGTGGGGAGCAGATCCTAGAGGGCTGGCAGAACCCCACAGGAAGTTTGGCTGCGGGTGGCTACTTGTTCTTGAGCCAGCATATTCCTGGCTGACCTCTTGTCTCGAACTTGGGTTTCCTTTGTGGAAATGACCTTCACCCCTTCCTACCAGGCACCGCTTACTTCATATTCAAATGGTCTCAGGCCCTAACAAGATCATCCTGACTCTGGACGACATCACTTTCCTGCCCCCACCAGGAGGAAGCTCTGGAAAGGTCTGGGGGACTGGAAACTGGGTGGGGGTGAGGGTGGGGGTGGCTAATAGGGTGAGTGGGGAGGGTGTTGGTGAATGGGAGTGAGATTACATCTGTCCTCTCCCTGTTAACCTGGGTTTCTGCCAGGACTAGCGAAACCCTCACCCGAATATGGGAGGACCTGCTTTCTATCATCGCTGTCTCAATCTGAGCTCTGGGGAAATCAGTGTCCTGAAGAGTTTAATTAAATTGGCAGCCCTTGTACTGACAGCTTTCTGGGGAAATGTGAGATTCCATCCAACAACAAATGAATATATTTGTTTTGTAATTGTGAAGTGCACTTGGGAAATGATGTCATTATTTTATTTTATTTTATTTTTGCTTTTTGGGTCACACCCAGCAATGCTCACGGGTTACTTCTGGCTCTGCATCAGGAATTATTCCTGGCAGTGCTTGGGGATCCTATGGGATGTTGGGGATCGAACCCAGGTCGGACGCGTGCAAGGCAAACACCCTACCCGCTGTACTATCACTCCGGCTCTTTTTTTGGGGGGGAGGTCACATCCGATGATGCTCATGGGTTACTCCTGGCTCTGAACTCAGGCGTTACTCCTGATGTTGCTCGGGGAACCATAGGAATGCTGGGGATTGAACCTGAGTCAGCCATGTGTAAGGGAAATGATGTCATTATTACCTTCCCTAACTGGACTCCTTCAGTTCTCCTGCTCTGTCTCAGCCTGATCTCAACCCACTGTTCTAACCCCACAGTATATCTCTCTCTCTATGTATCTATCTATACATATATACACACACCTATGTTTTGTTTTGTTTGATATATATATATATGTTTTATTTTGTTTTGTGTTTTGATTTGGGGTCACACCCAGCTGTGCTCAGGGCTTACTCCCGGTTCTGCACTGGGAATGCTCCTGGCAGGTTTGGAGATCCTATGGGGTTCTGGGAATTATACGTGGGTTGACCAAATAAACACCCTACCCACTGTGCTATCTCTCTAGCCCAAAATCACAGTATATTTTGATCCCTTGTCCTGACCTCTACCCTCCAGGTGGTCCAGGGGAGTCGATCAAGTCTCACAGCCCGCAGCATATCAGACATTCGCAGTGGTCCCAACCAGCCCCCCAACAGTTCCAGTATTGGCCTGTATGAGGTGAGCCTGATCCCCAGTGAGGCAGTCTGTTCTTGGAGGGCAGTGAGAGGGAGGAGGCTCAGGTCTAGGAGGCATGTGGTGGGGTTATTTCCTGCAGGCTTCAGGGAACAGGAGTGGAAATGACCTAGGAAGAGGTGAGGTGACTTTGATGCCTCAAACGGGAGCATTAGAGAAGTGCGAAGTCCAGGCTTTACCTATAGCCACTATCTAGGTCAGTGACTACAGGTGAGAGGTATGAGTAGGCAGGAAGCCTACTGGTCACTGAGGCCATGCCCCTCTAGGTAGCATCCCCTGGTCAAGTCTGCAAGTTAGTGAAGAGCACAGGCCTCCCTGGGAAGGTTGGGGCAGATGGGCACCTGACATGTATTTTCTATCTCAGGGTAGCACTGTCCTCTCGTTGTTCATCAATTTGATGATGCTCAAGCGGGCACCAGTAACGTCTCCACTGTGAGACTTGTTGTTACTGTTTTTGGCATATCGAATATGCCAGGGGGACCTTGTCAGGCTCTGCCATGCAGACGGGATACTCTCGGTAGGGACGGAGGAATCGAACCGGGGTAGGCCAAGTGCAAGGCAAATGCCCTACCTGCTATGCTATCGCTCCAAATATCAGATCTTCTAGATGTAGGTTGTTTGGAATGAGGAGTTTCCAGAAGGCACTCCCTGACCCAAGCCACACCAGCGTCTTGGCTCCCTAAGTCTGATCAGATTCAGGAATAGCAAGCCTGACAGGGGGAAAAGAAAGTCACAAAAGGTCAGCAAATCTGAATGGAGTAAATGGATGAGAGCAGATTCAGAGACCAGATCAAGAGAGAGAGCCCATCAGAGTTCCTGAGTGTCAGGGCAGGGAGAAAACGCCCAGGCTCCTATGTTACCTCCAGTCCTCACAGCCATTTTTCAGGGGAGTACTCTTGTCATTTGGTCAGGTTGTTTTTCTTTTTTTTCTTTTCTTTTTGGGTCACACCTGGAGGTGCACAGGGGTTACTCCTGTCCCTGCACTCGGGAATTACTCCTGGTGGTGCTCGGGGGACCATATGGGATGCTGGAAATCGAACCCGGGTAGGCTGCATGCAAGGCAAACTACCCGCCATACTACTGCTCCAGCCCCCAGGTTGTTTTTCATTGTATGGGATTACCATGTTCCATGAAGGATATTTAGTGTCTGTCCACAAAACAGCCTCCCATTTGGGTAAAAAATGTAAATGCCCCACATTTATTTGCAAGTGTTCTTAAGGGGTCAGTACCAAAGCCCCAGAATTCTCTTCAAGCCCAACCCCTTACCAACAGAAAAGACCAGCTGTGTAATTTGCAAGGTCTAGAGCAATATAAAGTGCTCGTTCAAGATGACAACTGCGGATCACTGAAGCAAGCTCAGGCCCTTGCAAACATGGCGACCATGAAGCTACACAGAACTGTAGCCCATGATGAGGGCACATATTGCCCACAGATAAAGACAGTGAGGCCTGGTGCCTGGAGGGCAGCTGCCTGTGTATCATATTTAGTCTGTCCAAAGGTCTGGTCTCCCCAGACTCTTGATTCTTTGCACAGTGCTGTCTCATGCTAATGGACAACAGCTATGAGGACTGTTTATCAGTGACCTTTGTGAGGGTAAGGGGCCACTTAAATAGGCTTTTGGTATGTACATCTGGGTGATGAGGACAATCACGTGACATGAAGCTCTCTTTCTCAGCTAACTGTGACGCATACTGGCAAGCCACAAGCTCCACCTCCCCAAGGCTCCATTATTCACAAAGGATGTGTACTGGGTCAATGGGTCAATAGCAATATGGGGGCTCCAGGGTTGTTGCCATCCAGGCCTTTTAAGAAAACTGAATTTTCTCCTCCCATCGCTCTGTTTCAGGGAGATTGGGTTTGGCTAAAAAAACTCCCAGGGAGCCAGCACATAGCGATCCGCCCAGCAACCAAGACAGCCTTCTCCAAGGTGACAGTTGGATCCATGTGATGGGGTTAACGGGGTGGGGTGGTCATGATTTTTTCCCCTCATTTCCTTCTATTTGCTGATGACTATAGATCCAGGAGAACATCAAGGCATACAGTCCCAATGTTGCCCCTTGTACATCATTGGGAGATAGCACAGCAGGTAGGGTGCTTCCCTTGTACTTAGGGAACCCAGATTCAGTGCCCAGCATGCCTAAGCACTGCCAGGAGTAATTCTGGAGGTCAGAGCCAGGAGTGCTGTGGGTGTGGCCCCAAAACAAAAGCAAATCACACACAAGTTCCTTTGCTGTCAGCATCAATTAAGATCACCTTTGAAGCCAGGAACACAGGTCAGCTGTAGAGCACGTGCTTTCCTGTGTAAAGCCCTGGGTTCAACACCACCTAAGAAATCACCTTTTCCCTTCCTTTCCTTTTGTTCTCATGGCAACAGTCAGCGGCTGAACATCTTAGTTGTAAAAGTCCTATACATGGTTATGACACCAGGGCTCACAAACAACAGTGTGACCAGGTTTGTCCTCAGCATGTGGACAGAGCAAGGAATCAAACTCTTGGCCTCATGCTGCAAGACAGATGGTCTACCACTGGGTCACATTCCTGGACCCATCATAACACTAGTTTTTCCCTTTGGTGATCTTGTCAAAACTTGCTATTGTACATTCATCTCTGTGCTTGCTTATTTTTTTTAATCTATCTCCCTCACATATTGGTAGGGTAAGGTTTGTTCCTGTCTCTGCTTTTTTTCCAGCATTCAGTAAAGTGTCTATATGAGACTCAATGAATGTTGAGTTAGTGAGAGAAAATTAAAAAGGGTTTCCAGTGGTGTAAATAGACCTGCTTAATGGATACTTAATGAAGTGAAAAAGTTGACAGAGACTATAAACAAACTTGTTTTATTTTTCCAAATTAAAGCCTTATTGCTCCCCAACACCATGAAAGTCTTTGCCTGGCCCCTTGGTCCAGAGACAACATAACTTAAGTAGAAGTCAGTGCACCCAGTATGTTTTTTAATTGGTTTTGGGGCCACACACAGCTGTGTTCAGGGCTTACTCTTAGCTTTGCACGCAGGGATCACTTCTGTCAGGCTCCAGGGACCATATGGGGAGCTGGGGGTTGAATCCGGGCCAACTTAAGTGCCCCACCCGCTATACTATTTCCCCAGCCCCTATTTTTGTTTCTTTGGTGGGGAGGGGAGGATCTCCAGAGTGTTACCTGGAAGGTCTAGGTGCCCATCCATGATTCTTAGCCAACCAGTGAAGAGGTGAATGGAAGTTTTTAAAGACACAGGAGTTTCCCCTTCTGGCATCCCCCTGGATCTTCGAGGTGCAAGGATGCGATGCTGTTTGGGCCTGTGGTGCCAGGAATATCTGGGCCACCCAGGGGGCCACGGATCTCCTAGTAATGCTCAGGATGGGGCCGGGATTGAACAGATGCATAACTGCCGTTACTTACTATCTTCTGGGCCCTTGTTTCTTTCTTTTTTGTTCTTTATTTGTTTGTTTGCTTGTTTTGCAACATCTGCCAGTGCTCAGGTCTTTCTCCTAGCTCTGTGCTCAGGGTTCACTCCTGACAGGGCTCAGAGGACCACATGAGGTGCTGGGAAATGAACCCGGGTCAGCTGTGTACAAGGCAACTGCCCTGCTTTGTTGCACTATCATTCCAACTCTTCTTTCTTCTTTTTTTTTATTTGTCTACTTTTACTTGGGGGCCTCACCTGGTGATGCTCGGGGTTACTCCTGACTGTGTTCAAAAGTTAATACTGGCAGTGCTCAGGGGAACATATACAATTGAAGTGCAGGTCAAACGTTCTACCCACTGTACTATCTCTTTAGCTCTTGTTTGATTTTTCAATCTAAGTTTTTTCGCTTCCTCTGCCAGCCTGGGGCCCCCAGAGGTATGCTCAGTGGTGGGAGGAGGCCATGTGGAGCCGGAAATTGAGTCTGGGTCCTGTGATGCAGATCGTACTCCAATCCTTTGAGCTATCAATCTGGCCCCCCAAGTGGCCATTTTATAACTTTTTTTTTTAATGAAAAGACCCCTGTGTTATGTGTGGACCAAAGAAAAGCTAGAGAAGATACCCATCACCCTTTCCCAGCAGGCCCAAATTAAGGTGGGGGGCACTCATCAAACCGGGAACTGTGTCCCGTCAGCTCCGGGAGCTCCGGCACGACAACGTTGCCCTCTACCTGGGGCTCTTCCTGGCGGGGACCGCGACCCAGCCCGGGGCCCCGGGCGACGGAGTGCTGGCTGTGGTCTCTGAGCACTATGTCCGGGGCTCCCTCCACGACCTCCTGGCTCAGAGAGACATAAAGCTGGACTGGATGTTCAAGTCCTCCCTCCTGCTGGACCTCATCAAGGTGGGGCGGCGGCCGGCCGGGGAGCGGGGCGAGGGCCAGGCCCCCGCGGCCGCGGCTGCCGCTGACCCTCCCTTCCAGGGCATGCGGTACCTGCACCACCGCGGCCTGGCCCACGGGAGGCTGAAGTCGCGGAACTGCGTGGTGGACGGGCGGTTCGTGCTTAAAGTCACCGACCACGGCCACGGGCGACTGCTGGAGGCGCAGCGGGTGCTGCCACCGCCCCCCAGAGCCGAGGGTAAGCGTCCCCTGCCCCGCGGACCCGGGGTCCCAGTTCTTCCAGGGCCCCGCCTGCCGCCCCTCCCTCCGCTCTGTCTCGCCACCCATGTCCACTGGGGACAACTTCCACGACCAAACTGGCGCGGCTAGACCGGCTGGGGGGCAGTGGCCCTGCCCCCCACCCCGGGGCGCTCTTACCAGACGGACGGTGGGGGGTGGGGCGGGCGCTCGCGCCCGAGCAGAGTCTCTCCCGGACGCCCTGCACCCGCCGGACTAAGCCCTATCTAGCGCCCGGCTTTCTGGAAGGATCTCCAGGGGACAGCTGAGGGCGTAGCGTCAGACGAGTGGGCAAGGGTGGGGATGGGGTGCCGATCTGAGCCTGGGCTTTCCGGGGCACGTGACGCTGTGCTCAACCCTCCCCGGCTCCTCCTCGCCCCCAGACCAGCTATGGACAGCCCCGGAGCTGCTGCGGGACCCTGCCCTGGAGCGCCGGGGGACCCTGGCCGGTGATGTCTTTAGCCTGGCCATCATCATGCAGGAGGTCGTGTGCCGCAGCGCCCCCTATGCCATGCTGGAGCTCACTTCCCAGGGTAAGGCAGCCCCTAACAGGCCTGGCTCTACGAACTGACCCTGTCCGGCACTTTCCTTTATTTCCCTAAGGCCCTGTGTTGGGAGTTAACCCCTGCTGTTCCTCAGAGGGAATCTAGCAGGTCTGGGTAGTGAAGAGCCAAAGCATTAGGATGAGCGGAGATGGCTCTCAGTGGGTTCCTTTGTCCTGACTCTGACTCCAATTTTCTTTTTTTTTGGGGGGGGGGGTCACATCCAGCGATGCTCAGGGGTTACTCCTGGCTCTGAACTCAGGAATTATTCCTGGCAGTGCTTGGGGAATATATGGGATGCTGGGAATCGAACCTGGGTCGGCCGCATGCAAGGCAAACACCCTACTCTCTACCTACTGTGCTATCACTCCAGCCCCTCCCCTGTTCCTTAAGGGTCCTGGGGAGTAGGACTTATGTGGAGGGGGAGGGTGTGGAGCTGTTGTTGACCTAGTTCAAATCCATATTTGTCATTACTTGACTCAGTAAGCAGTTTGATCATCTTGTCACTTTTCTTACGTGCAATAAATGTTTATCTCTTTGCCAGTCACCTCTTATTGTCTGCTACTTCCCAGAGTTCAGAATCTTCTTGGCACTCCCAGCAGCCCTCTAACATACCTCCACTCACTGAAATTCTGATTTTGAAGGTCTGTTTCCAGCCCTCTCCTCACCCCATCTTGGGCTGCAATCATCAGACCAGAATCAGAACTAGCTTCTATTCCAGGCCTCACTCTCTTGGTCCCCTCATACCCCCAGAAGTGGTGCAGAGGGTACAGAGCCCACCTCCACTGTGTCGGCCCTTGGTGTCCATGGACCAGGCCCCCGTCGAATGCATCCAGCTGATGAAGCAGTGCTGGGCAGAGCAACCAGATATTCGGCCCTCCATGGACCGCACCTTTGACCTGGTCAGTCACTGGGACTGGGCAAGGGCTTTGGGAAGGAGGTTGGCAGGCAGGTTGAAGAAATATCTCAAAGGGGGGAGCCTGGCAAGTACAAGGTCATGAGTTCAATCCCTACACTATACGGGCACCCTGAGCATTGCCAGGTATAGCTATATCGGCAGAGTATCCCTGGGGGGGCAGGGAAGGCCCAAATAAAATAAATATTATAAAGGAAAGAAGGTTGGCATGACCTGACTTTCCAGACTACATCCTAAGAAATAAATTGAAGAGGTGAATTGAGGATGTGGTTCAGTGGTGCAAGAGTTAGAAGGGGGCTGAGGAGTCTTTCAAGAGGGAAGTAAAGTTCTGAATGAGAAAGTGACTTATTTTCATTTAAAAACATTTATTGAGAACAAAGTTTGTGCTTGGTCTAGTGTGAAAAGATGATCAGACCTGGGTGGGCTGGGGTCAGAGCCCTTTTGGTTCCTAGCTGAGGAGAACCAGCGTGTCAGAATACCCTTTCCCATCTGTGGCCTCTGAATGTTTGGGAACACTGTGCCCCCTCACCTGGGGTGCCTAATGAGAGAAGATGAATGGAGGGGAGAGGACTGGGCGTAGTGTCTCTGAGAGAAGGCAGGCAGGGCCCTCAGCTTCCTCGCCAGCTTCCTTCTCCTGCTAGTTCAAGAGCATCAATAAGGGCCGGAAGAGCAACATCATCGACTCCATGCTGAGGATGCTGGAGCAGTACTCCAGTAACCTGGAGGACCTCATCCGGGAGCGCACGGAGGAACTGGAGCTGGAGAAGCAGAAAACAGACCGGCTGCTCACACAGATGCTGCCTCCGTGAGTGTCATGGGAAGGCAGTCGGGAAAGGCAGCTGGGACCCAGCTAGGTGACCTTGTGGCTGCTTCCCTAGGTCCGTGGCTGAGGCTCTGAAGATGGGGACATCGGTGGAGCCTGAGTACTTTGAGGAGGTGACACTGTACTTCAGTGACATTGTGGGCTTCACCACCATCTCCGCCATGAGTGAACCCATCGAGGTGGTAGACCTGCTCAATGACCTCTATACACTCTTTGATGCCATCATCGGTTCCCATGACGTCTACAAGGTGGGGGTTGAGGAGGGCAAACTCACCTGCAGCTTTACCGGCCCCAGCCCAGGCTTTCTTGCCAGGCCACCTGCCCCTGGCCACCAGCCCAGTCCTGTTTCCAAGCCCTCTTGTTCCCTAGCTCATCTGCCAGTTCCTGGTTCAGTTCCCCAGCTCACTCTTCCACATCTCTGCAGTAACCTGAGCTTAGGCCTCTGGACAAGAAAAGGGTTTTGGCCAAGAGACATAGATGCTGTACTCAGTTTGCACACCTCCTTCTCCCAGGTGGAGACCATTGGAGATGCCTACATGGTGGCCTCTGGGCTGCCCCAGCGGAACGGGCAACGGCACGCAGCAGAAATTGCCAACATGGCCCTAGACATCCTCAGTGCTGTGGGCTCCTTTCGCATGCGCCACATGCCTGAGGTGCCCATACGCATCCGCATTGGCCTGCACTCAGGTAATTCCTGCACCCCCACACCCCGACACCCAGGCGCACCCATCTCCATCCACTTAAGGGCCTGCAGCAGGGCAAACTCCAGCAGGGGTGGGTAAGGAGACATGTCTTCAAATCACCTTTACATTCCAGGCTCCCTGTTACCAAAAGAGGGTACACGGTGGGGGGCGCAGTGAATGGGGATTCAGGAATGCTAAAGAGTTCTAAGCCTCTAGATGCAACCCAGCTGCCCGCCGGGGTGTCTCCACAGGCCCCTGTGTAGCGGGCGTGGTGGGTCTGACCATGCCTCGGTACTGCCTTTTTGGGGACACAGTCAACACCGCATCTCGTATGGAGTCCACTGGACTGCGTGAGTGTGAAGGGGGTGGGGGGGGTGGAACATGGAATTTTATTTGGGGGCTGAGGGAATAAAGGTCTCCTGATGGGTTTGATCTACCAAGAGTATCTCGCCTGCATGGCAAAGCCTGGCAAGCTACCTGTGACGTATTCGATATGCCAAACACAGTAACAGTTGTCACAATGGAGACGTTACTGGGCCCACTCAAGAAAATCGATGAACAACGGGAGAACAGTAACAGTGACAGTGATGGGTTTGAGGGAGGTAAGTCCTAGGGCAGCGTTCTGTGTTGTCCCAGCCTACCGCATTCATGTGAACATGAGCACCGTGCGGATTCTCCGTGCTCTGAATGAAGGCTTCCAGGTGGAGGTGCGAGGTCGAACGGAGCTCAAGGTGAGGCAGGTCCCAAATTTCCTGGATCAGGCCGGAACCAGCTCTGGCCTTGTTCTAGATCTCCGGGTTCCTTGGGATCTGGGATCCTCCCCGCTTCCCTTGCCCAGCCTCCTAAGCCTTCCTCCCCCATGTCTGCCCAGGGCAAGGGCACTGAGGAAACCTACTGGCTGGTGGGCAGACGCGGCTTCAACAAACCCATTCCAGAACCACCTGACCTGAAACCAGGGTGAGGAGCCCACCTAACTACCCAGAGGGCTGATTATGGAGCACAGGCCTTGTATATCCCATCACCCCTTCTCTGCCATTTCTAACACACCTGGGAAGAAGTAGCAATAACTTGGGCCCTGCCATCCCTCCTCTAATCTCCTCTCAGAGCCAGCAATCACGGCATCAGCCTGCAGGAAATCCCCCCAGATCGGCGCCAGAAGCTGGAGAAGGCCAGGCCTGGCCAGTTTTCGGGAAAGTGACTCCCAGTCCCTACAGGTACTGCCTGCTGGTTCCCAAGGCCAACTCTTTTTTTTTTAATTTTTATTGGATAAACACCATTAGAAGTACAGTTGTAGACTTACAAATTTTTGTGCTTGGGTTTCACTTATACATTGATCGAGTACCCATCCCTCCACCAGTGTCGATTCTCCACCACCACTAATCCCAGTATCACTCCCACCCCATCCCCCCATCCCACCCTGCCTCTGTGGCAGGGCATTACCTTTTGTTCTCTCTCTCCTTTTGGGTGCTGTGGTTTGCAAAACAGGAATTGAGTGGCAATCATGTTTGGTCTATAGTCTACTTTCAGCATGCATCTCCCATCCTGGGAGGATCCTCCCAACACCCTTTATTTGGTGCTCCCTTCTCTATCTGAGCTCTTAATCTCTCCTCAGACTAAGGGTGTTTCTCACCTCTAGGAGATGCTCTCTGAAGGGCCCAACCCTGCCCTCACTGCAGCACTCAGGGCCTCTGACTACCTGCAGGGTTCAAGCCCTGTTTTTTGATATCTCTCTGATTTAGTGGATTGGGTTGATTCAAACCCAGAGACTTCCCTGAGGGGTGGGGGGTGGGGTGCCCAGTGGGTGTGGCATAATCTAAGAATGTGATCTTGGGAATGAAATCCCTATAATCCTGACTTTGCCTTTAACCCCCCTGCAATAATTTGCTCCTCCCACCCACTCACAAGAGCTCAAACTTTTAGGGGTTCATTCTGTAAGATCAGTGCAGCCCTAGAGTTCTGTGAGAGCAGAACCTTGCCTCCTTCCTTTGAGAATCTCTAGACAAAGACCCACCTCTTCCCAGTGAGCCCCCTTGGACTCCTTTCCACAATTTCCCAAGGAGATTCTCCTTCTCCCCTCAGGATGATTCCAGAAGGTCCTTTTCTTGAAAGTTGCTGCTACAGAGGACCAACAGTCTAGCCGATACCAGCCTCGGTCCAGTTCTACCTCAGATGATCTGTTCTTTTACGAGCACCAGTAGAAAACCAGCTCATGTGACCTTGGGACAGACTCCTGCACTCTCTGGGCTTGGGGATCCTGTGGCTTCAGTGGCTTCCACATCCCCTGTCAGCTGACCTTGGGAGGAGAGGCGCTGGGAATCTGGCCCCCACCCTGTGCTAGAATGGGGAGGTAGAAGAGGAAGAATCCAATTTCCAGGGCCTCTCAGGACCCCGTGAAGGAGGACTGTTGACTGGATGCTGCACCAGTGAGAAACTGACTCTTGCTCATTCATTCATTCATTCATCATCCTGTTATTCGTCGATTGCCTCGAGCAGGCCCCAGTAACGTCTCTTTCATCCTAGCCCTGAGATTATATTCAAGGCTCTTTAGGAGAATGAGACCCATCATTGTTACTGGTATTTGGCATATTGGGTACGCCACGGGGAGTTTGCCAGACTCTGCCCTGTGGGCAGGCTACATTCGATAGCCTGCAAGTTTGTCCGAAGTAGGAATGAGATAATAAGATGTCATAAAAAGATGTCCTGATAATATGTCTCGCAGCTGCGAATGCATTGATTGACTCTTGCTCATGTGGGCACAACTAGGAAACCTGCACATGTGCAGAGAAAAGCTTTCTTTAGGCTTCATGAAAAGAAACGTAAACAAACTGTACCAAACTGTATTCACCAGGACCCCACAGTAAAGTCGTGTCGTCCTCTGCTTATCTGAGTGCTGGTGAGCAGGCAAGGGACAGGAAATCCCTGCACGTGCCAACCCTTTCCCAGAAGGACTCCAGCTAAAGTCTGATTTGTGGAACTTTGTGTCTGGAGCCAGATTTTGATGACTGTGATTCTGGGTGTCCTTTGTCACAGCTGCTGAGCTAGACAGTGAGCAGCAGCACGGGCACCGGGCTACCACACAGGTGTGGACATCCTGTCCCTGCAGGTCTGCAGAAAGAACTGGAAACCAATGACCAGGAGATATGAATTGGATAGAATGCCTAGGGAGAAGAATGAACAAAATTTCAACTCTGTGAAGGGTGTTTGATGAACCACCAGCAGCCGCATTTCCTGGGAACTTGTTAGAAACGTAAGATGTCAGACTCAGACCTGTGTATGTGCAATCTACATTTGAAAAAGTTCCCTCCAGTATTTACATGCATTTAAAACGTTTTCAGGGACCAGAGAAATAGTACAGAGAATAAGGCATTTGCCTTGCACATGGCCGACCCGGGTTCGATCCCCAGCATCCCATTTGGTTCCCCAAGCACCGCCAGGAGGAATTCCTGAATACAGAACCAGAAGTAAACCCCTAAGCATCTCTTGGTGTGGCCCAAAAAGCAAAATAAATAAATAAAAATTAAGAAATAACAATAATAATAAATAAAAAGTTTGGGGCACAGTGGGTAGGGCGTTTGCCTTGCATGCGGCCGATCTGGGTTCGATTCCCAGCATCCCATATGGTCCCCTGAGCACCGCCAGGAGTAATTCCTGAGTGCATGAGCCAGGAGTAATCCCTGTGCATTGCCAGGTGTGACTCAAAAGCAAATCAATTAGTTAATTAATTAATTAAAAAATGTTTTTAGGGACTGGAGAGATAGTACAGCGGGTAGAATGCCAGGGTTTCAGCCCCAACATTTCATATGGTTCCACATAGCAAATCCTCTATGAAGCTAATGAGTTTAAAATGTTTGGCATCCTTGGGGGCTGGAGTGATAGCAAAGCGGGTAAGGCATTTGCCTTGCACGCGGCCGACCCGGGTTCGATTCCCAGCATCCCATATGGTCCCCTGAACACCACCAGGGGTAATTCCTGAGTGCAGAGCCAGGAGTGACCCCTGTGAATTGCTGGGTGTGTCCCAAAAAGAAAAAAATTAATTAATTAATAAAATGTTTGGCGTCCCTTCCCTGCATAAATCCCTTTGAAGTCCTCATGCCCAATTTGGTATTTTTGTTTTGTTTCATTTGGAGGACACATCCAGCAGTGCTCAGGGCTTATTCCTGGCTTTGTGCCTGGGGATTATTCCTGGTGGAGCTCAGGGACCATAATGTGGTGCCAGGAATCAAATCCGGGTGGGCCACATGCAAGACAAGCATCCTACCTGCTATACTACTTCTCCAGCCCCTGTATTCTTTTTCTTAAAGAAGTCAGCCCTTCACAGTGAACTGTGTTTCAGATCCCCCAAGATTTAGATCTATCTTGTGTTTTCCCTCTGGGGCACTGGGGGTCGGTTTTCTCTCAGCCTTTGTCACTGAAGACTCCACAAAAGCAGCAAGTGTCTTCCTTTAGAACACCCCATTTCTTCTAGGAGCCACAGCCCCTTGTGTGCCCCATAGGTGCCAGGGAAATCTGGGTAGCCCCAATTTAGGTCACCCTGCGTCCTCCAGCCTTCTTCATGACCACGTGCAGGAGCTCCGCGGGGTCTACACTGCCACACAGCTTCCTTGCATGTGGCTTTTTCTGTGTCCTGCAAACCAGTTCCACTCAGCTGGCAATTAGACAGATGCCCACATGCTATCCTCAGAGGCACCTCCAGTCTCCATAAATGACTTCCAGAGAGCCAGCATTTGCTGTTTGTAGGGGCCACTGTGGCTCTCAGCCGATATGTTGGACCTCACCAACTCCTGTTCTTATCCCCTCCCCAGTCTTCTATTGGGTGGGGTGAGGTGGAGGTGGGGAGTACGGATTACAGAGGATCAGTTCCACCAGCTCTCAGAAATCCCTTGGGATGGAGGTTCAGATGGGGATAACTGAGCTATTTGTTTCCATCTCCAAAATACAGAGTACTTAGTGCTTAATTGTTTCAGTCAGCCTGGGGCAGGGAGAAAGAAGCTTCCAGCCATCAAGTCAAGTGTTCTATTTCTCAGGGGGCATCAATAATCTGAAACTAGCTGTTATAAGTGAGTCGGAATGTCTGCCTGGTTTTCCTGAGTTCTAAAATTATGGCAGAAACATTAACTAGGGCAAAAAGTTGAGTCCCTTTCTATTGGTTATATCTTTGGGAAGACGGTCACAAAAGAATATAAGGCAAGAATATAATATCCTTCCATCGCATTTGAACACAATTTGCTTCCTGTAAAAGTTGAAACAAGGAAACCATTCTCAAATTTCCCCAGATAATCCAAAGGGATTTTAATGAGCAAATAATGTGGCCACTATTGCCTTTGCTTAGATGGCAAAAAGCACAAACTAGGGGCCAGAGCGATAGCTCAGTGGGTAGGGCATTTTTGCCTTGCACGCGGCCGACCCGAGCTCGATTCCCAGCATCCCGTATGGTCCCCTGAGCACCGCCAGGAATAATTCCTGAGTGCAGAGCCAGGAGTAACCCCTGTGCATTGCCGGGTGTGACCCAAAAAGAAAAAAGAAAAGCACAAACTAGAATGTAAAGAATTGCTGGTTTAAAATGCCTACATAGCTCCTTGCAGATTAATATTAATCACTTGATCACTTGACATCCCATTACTCATCAATTTGCTTGAGCGGGCGCCAGTTACATCTCCATTCATCGCTGTCGCGTGGCAGTGTAGCCCAATGGCGAATATATATTAATCATATTAACTTAAAGGTAAAAATGGGTATTTTTCAAGGTTCAAAGAGCTAGTTCTTTCCTTTCTATATTTTTATTATTTGTTTTGAGGTCACACCAAGTAGTGTTCTGGAACTATTCCTGAATCTGCTCTGAAGTGACTCCTGGTGGCGCATGAGTGAACCAGATGCAGTGCTGGGGATGGAACCAGTTGCATACAAGGCAGGCAATCTGTCCCCTTCTTCTCTCCACTATTTCTAAGTAAACATGGCTTATCTCACTAGAAGCAGATAATCAATGGTCAGTATCGCATTGGAACCAAATAAGCATTAGATGTCATCTGCTAAATTTCTCAAACAAGCGTGAATCAGATTACATTTTAGTTTTTTGGGTTTTTTTTTTTTTTGCCTTTTTGCCTTTTTGGGTCACACCCAGCAATGCTCAGGGATCACTCCTGGCTCTGTACTCAGGAATTACTCCTGGCGGTGCTTGGGGGACCATATGGGATGCCGGGGATCGAACCCGGGTCGGCCGCGTGCAAGGCAAACGCCCAACCCGCTGTGCTATCGCTCCAGCCCTACATTTTAGTTTTAGCAGGCAAATTACTGGCGGAGGAGGGAATCAAGGAGGAGGGGTACTGATCACTCAACATGCATTCTGCTTCTTTTTGTCCTGGGGAGGGGGGCAGAAGGGATGGGCAGGAGATTGTGGGACACACCCAGGAGATCTCAGAGCTTACTCCTGGCTTTCTCTCTGCTCAGAAATCACTCCTGGAGCTGGAGTCATAGTACAGTTGGTAGGGTACTTGCCTTACACAGAGCCCACTTGAGTTCAATTACCCCATATGGACCCCAGGCCCACCAGGAGTGATCCCTGAATGAAGAGCTAGGAGTAACTCCAGTATAGTTATGTTTTGCTTTCACCCCCAGCACCAGCACAGGACCTGACACAGAAGAGTTCCCAGACTCCTCTTGACCCTTTTCTTAGTGATGAGGTGCAATAACCAGGAATTCCCCCAACACTACCAAAAGACAGAGACACATTGGCCCTGACTTAAGGTCTGTTATCACAGAGGGCGTGGCCGCACTCTGCTGTGAGAATGCTCTGTTGCCTCCTTTCGTTTCCCTCCTGGTCTCAGCTCCTTGCCTTTATTCGACGAAACCATGCACTCCCACTCACAGTGTGCTCAGCAACCCCAACTCCACATATGTACCTCAATTAATTTTCGTCACCCAATGTCTTACATCCTCCTCAGGGTTATAGTAAAGCCATTTAGAACAAAGAAAAGAAGGTGACCACAGGGGAATATAGCTGTATGAAATACTTCAGCTGCTACCACCTGGAGCCCAGCCCATGACTGCAAAATTATCAGAAAAACAATTGCTTCCTCATCTTCTAAAATACTGTGATATGGGAAGACTTATTATACACTCACACTCCTAAACATATATGCACCTAATAATAGACCACCAAAATATTTTAATGTTTTTTAATTTTAATCG